ATTTCGAAACACGCGTGGCGGTTTCGGAGCACGAACGGGAAAGAGGGAGAGGGAGATTAAAAGAGAGAGAGAGAGGGGGGGGGGGGGAGAGAGAGAGAGAGAGAGAGAGAGAGAGAGAGAGAGAGAGAGAGAGAGAGAGAGAGAGAGAGAGGCAGAGCGAGAAAGAGAGAGAGAGAGAGAGAGAGAGAGAGGGAGACCGGATTGGGGGGGGAGAAGAGTGTAGAAAAAGGGGGGGAGCAACCTTGCCGGTCTGAAGGCGCACCGGTGATCGGACCCACGGAGCGAGAAGGGGAGGTCCCTAACTGTCGCATAGGTTCTCAGAGTGTTGAGCACTTCGCCCGACTTTAGGAGGAGTATTGATATCGGAATTGCGGAGCGACACGGACTCACATGCTGTGGGCAGACTCGACCCGCGGACTTCAAAAAATCTGAGCGACTCTCTTCGGGTCGTTGTTCAAGCTAACGTGCACCTGTTGGCATTGCCTCGGTGTGAACTCTACATCACCTCCTTCGGTCATTTTTTTTGCTTCCTCTTTTGTTGCCCTCTGAAATTGGTTGTTTGGTTGATGTAACGACAGGCAGTCGGCTCGCCCGAAAGTGGGGAGGCCTATAGCAAAAAGGGTGAGAGAAAAAAAAGGGGGGGGGAGAGAGAGAAGAGAGAAAAAGAGAGAGAGAGAGAGAGGAGAGAGGGAGTGAGGGAGAGAGAGAGGGCGTTGGCTGCGGGTCGATGGACTGGGCCCGTTAGGCGACCGGTGACTGAAACGTCACGGCTGTTTAGGTGGCGTTTTGCCTGGTCTTTTCCACCTCGAAACTCCAATGTCGGTTTTGAGTTCTAGGCGACGAAGCAGGGGTACCCACTAGTCGTCCGCGAAAGAGTACATGTGTGAAAAAGAGGTCCCGAACTGATTGTGGAGTCAATTCTGTTTCGGAAAAACGTCCGCGCGAAGAGTCGATAGGGGGAGAGTTTCTGTTCTGAACCATCAGGTTTGTTCTGGGTTATTGCGACTGGTTACGAAAAAGGGTCTGCTTGCCGAGTCAGAGTCTCTGCCATGAACTATTACGTCTGTTCTGAGTTGTCGGGACTGGTTGCGAAAAAAAGGTTTGCATACTGAGTCACCGAGAAAGAGTTTTTATCCTGAACCATCGGGTTTGTTCTGAGTTATTGCGACTGGTTATGAAAAAGGGTCTCCTTGTCGATTCAGAGTCTCTGTCACGAACTATTGAGTTTGTTCTAAGCTGCCGGGACTGGTTGCGAGAAAGGGTATGCATACCGAGTCACCGAGATGAAGTTTTTGTCCCGAACCATCAGGTTTGTTCTGAGTTATTGCGACTGGTTATGAAAAAGGGTCTGCTTGCCAAGTCAAAGTTTCTGTCACGAACTATCGAGTTTGTTCTGAGCTGTCGGGACTGGTTGCGAAAAAGGGTCTGCATATCGAGTCACCAAGAAAGAGTTTCTGTCCCGAACTATTGAGTCTGGTCCAGAGCTATTGAAAAGGGGGGTTGTATGTTGAGTCACCAAAAAAGAGTTTTCTTTCCCGAGCTGCCGAGTCTACTCTGGGCAAATTGGGTCTGTTTGTGGGGAAAAGGTCTGCCTGACAAATCGACAGAAAAGAGTTTCCTGGGCCGACGAGTCAGCTCCAAGCGATTGACTCTGCTTATGCAAATAAGCCTGTTCCGGGGGGCTGGGTCGGATCTGAGTTGTGGGGTCCGTCTAACGGTGGAAGGCCAGCACGACCAACCACCAAGAAGGAGCTTCCGGGCTCTAAGTTGTAAGGATTGTCGGTTGTGAACCTCAGCGTAGGGGCTCCTCAATTCAAGGGGGGGGTATATCGGATTCTGTGTTGATAGGATGAAACCGTGACCAGGCCCGACAACGTTCCCCCTATGCTACAGCGAACGAGAAACGCCCTCGGTCGGGCCACCTCTGCGATTGCATACGAAAAGCCTTCGCATGTGGTTTGGTAGCTCGGTCGGGATACGCCCACCCAAAGGGATGGTGACAACTCCCGCGGGTAGAGGTAAGTTGTACCTCACGTAACCCTATCCCGTCGTAGGGGTTCGCGAGAGGTATGGATGACGCACTTGGTCGGAGCGACAAAATGTTCTGCGATGAAGTCCTGCAAAATCCTACATGACGCGGCCATGAGGGTCCCCCCTGCGGGACCGATGTGCTCGACAACGTTCTGCACCAGAGGGGACAGGGGTACTGGCACCATGGCGGGGAGAGGGTCACTACCTGCGAGTTGTCCGTTGTGGGTGTCAGTTCCATGTGAGCAATTCGTGGGGTGCTAGAGAGCCGATGTGGCTGGTCCTTTCCCAAAGATAGCGAATGCAGTGACCCGTCGTGGTGGTGATAACCTTCCATTGTGTGCGTCGTGGCCTCTTCGTCCTTCATATGTTTTTGAGGCCCGGGGGTTGGCCTAGGCTGAGATGTCAAGCGTCCAAAATCCTAGCGTCTGTGGTCCAACTGCTGCTGGGTCGTTCGTAGCAGCGATTGGGCTACCTGAAAGAAATGTGTCCCGTTTGTCGGGGGGTGTGTTTTTGTCGGGATCAGGTTTTTCGGCCCTTGCATAAGGTTGTGCAGGTAGTCAAACCTTAGCAGCTTACTCATTTCTTTAAGATAAGCCCGGTGTTGTTTAATGTGACCGGTGATGCCAGAGAGAGACTTTGCTGATCGGCATCGGTGATGGCGGGGAGAGACTTTGCAAATTGTCTTGTGGGCCCTGCCTCATTGCGGCCGGGGGAGGTAATTTCCAGATCGAGCCCAGCCAGCACGGGCGAGCCCGTAGAAGGTGCCTTCTCTGGGTCCCCTAAAGGAGGCATTGAGGGTACAAATTCAAGTAGTAGCGTCGTTGACTGTTCTGCTGGTTGTACCTGTTGTTGTCCCGACAGAGTCCGGGGGGGTCCTTGCTCTAGCGGTACCGGTAGGTTGGGTACGACCGGTGTCGGGAGGTCGGCCCTATCCTGGTTTTGTGCTCTCAGGTTTCTGTGCACATGGAACCATAAATCGAGTAAGTGTAAATTAAACCACAAGTACTTGGCCCAGGGTTTCCTCAAGTGTACATGGAACCATAAATCGAGTAAGTGTAAAGTAAACCACAAGTACTTGGCCCAGTGTTTCCTCAAGTGTACATGGAACCATAAATCGAGTAAGTGTAAGTTAAACCACAAGTACTTGGCCCAGGGTTTCCTTAAGTATACATGGAAGGAACCATAAATTGAGTAAGTGTAAATTAAACCACAAGTACTTGGCCCAACTATCGATGCTGAGCCTGAAAACGGGCTGCGCGCCGTTTTGGGCCTGCCCGCCAGCACAACACCAAAAAATTGTTTTGGCTGGTGGCACCAGCCTTTGAGGGCCGGTACCCGGAGCCTCCGGAAGTTGTGGGGTGACAATGCCCCGCGGCCAATGTATGGGCCAAGTATTGGTGGTTTAGGGCCTAGTTGCACTACTCGCCATACGTAAAGTTTGGCGGCTAGGCGCCTGGTTGCACTTACTCGCCAAACTTGACGAATGCAAAATGTGTCAGACGGCTTGCCACACCGTCGACACAAGTTGTGGAGAGTGAATTCGGTTTCCCCACCTGTGCACGACGGCTTGTGGAGGGTGGTCCTCGGACCTCTCCACAAAACAACTTTTTGGAGAGTGCAGGGCTTTACGAGTCGACATCGAGTAGACAAAAAATTTTAAACCGCTAGTACCTCCCCGTTGTTTTTTCGAAGTCGCGGCCGTTAACGCCCCGCGACTTTCGGGGGTCGGGCAAGCCAACGTCTGGTGGCTTGTTTCAAAAAAAAAGAAAAAAAAAAAAAAGAAAAAAAAAGAAAAAAAAGAAAGAAAGGATGAAAGAAAAGAAAAGAAAAGAAATCACGAATCTCTCCTCGTGAGAGAGAGAGAGAGAGAGAGAGAGAGAGAGAGAGAGAGAGAGAGAGAGAGAGAGAGAGAGAGAGAGAG